CCACAGGATGTCCATAGAAGTTTTTATGTTTTTAAAAAACTGTTTGTTCCTATCACTGAATGACTACTGAGGGATGTGGCCAATAGCGCCACCCTCTGGTGACACTATCAAACTGCAGGTTCACAGAATACATCAATCAATATTTCTTTTGTGACCTTTCTAAAGGCAGGATCGGTTCCCTCGGTTTATGAAAGACTCACGCATGAGGAAGTCCCTGATCTGTTTGATGAGGTCCCTCAGGTCGTTGTTGGAGCGTTCCACTTTGTTTTTGGTGGTGGTGGCTTTATCCAGGGCGGCCCGGGCCCGGCCTTTGGCTTCCTCTGCTTTGGTTTTAGCTTCTGCCACCTAGGAGGAAAGAAAATGGAAAAATTATAAAAGAAATTATTAAAAAAATTATTTAAATTTTTTTTTTTTAATATTTAAAAAATTAATTAAAAATTATCAAAAAAAAATTAAATAAATTATTAAAAAAAATATTTAAAAAATTATACTAAATATTATACTAAAAAATTTCACAAAATATTATACTCATATACTAATTATACTAACTTTAAAATAAAAATATCAGTTCTGAATTTGGAGAGGCTTTTGTAAAGGCTTTTTGTTTTCAAATCTTATCTCTTGAAGACTAGAAAAAGTTTTCCATGATTTATTTTCTCCTTCACCAAACTGGAAGAAGCTGCTTTTTTAAACTTTTGTGATGTCAGTCTAATCAAAATTTTCTTAGTCAGCTAATTTATTCATTCTAAATAAATTGCTATCTAGAATTAATTATCTAAATACAAATATTAGCTAGTTTTTGTTCTTTTTTCTGTCTTTAAAAAAAAAAAACATTTCTGCTTTAGAATTTCTTCTACAGACACAGGTCACAAACACCAGCAGTTTGAAATTTACATTTTTTTTTTTTCTTAATTTCTTTAGTTCAGACATTCTTACTTATATTTTTTCTTATTAATCCGACAAACGTCTGCTCTGGGTGACAGTTTGAGCTTTACAGTTCTTTTAAATCAATGCTGAAGACCTTTCTTTTTGATGTTGCCTTTCTCTAAATGACATTCATTTCTTTACTGTTTAATATTTTATACTGCACTGTAATTTTTATCCTTGTGTTTTATTTGCTTTATTTTTAACTGTTTCTTCTGTTTTATTGATTTTTTTTTTTTTTTTTTTACTGATTTTATGTAAAGCACTTTGACTTGCCCTGTTGCTGAAGTGTGCTATACAAATAAATTACAGTTCTGTAATTACAGTTAATTCTGTCAGGAATGACAGATTCCCGACAGACTGCTGAGTGGTGGAAAACACACCTTGTGGGCGAGTCCCTGCACCTCCCCCATGGCTCTGCTCAGCTCCTTCTCGGCGTGCCGGGCCCTCTCCAGAGCGTTGTCCGCCTCCGAAACGGCGCCGTTGCAGTTCAGGCCGCCGCAGTGGAGCTTCCCCTCGTCGTCGCGGCAACCCACTCCTCCACACGGACTCTCCGCACAGGGGGCGTCCGCCCGAGTGCCGCACACCTGTCGGAAACAGGTACCGACGTCAGCAGCAGGTAGAGTCACCAGGAAACGGCGTGGAACCAAAAAGGAAGCAAGAAAAATCTAAATCTGAGTTCATCATTTGGTGGGGCATCCCGGATGTCTGTGGGGGGGG